ATCTTCTATTAGTTTCAGTCTTTTTTCTTTTCATCTTTACACTTGTGGATGTCTTTTTGCGTCATGCGTCGCCTTTTCCTGGCTTTGTCTCTGAAATCTTTGCGCATGAAAATTTTGAAGCAAATGTGCCTCCCACACTTGAAATTCCAGGATTTTACAGGACTCCACAGGCTGCTGCCTCTCTCTCTCTGTCTCTTTATCACTGGTAACATGGGAGTGTGTGAGTGTTAGGGCTGTGGGGCAGGACAACAATGTGAGTGTGTGTAGGGGGAAATAATAATATGCTAATTCATTGCCCTTAATTGCATAGGGAGAGCAGAGAGATTCCATACTTGACATAACTGCTTTGAATCGCTCACTGTGTGTTGGTCGGCATCAAGTGTTCACTTGTATGGTTTCATATTAAAAATCAAAATTGCAACTTTTTCATCACAATTATTAAGCGAGTCTGGAAACAAGCTCCTTACAAAATGGAAGCTGAGCCCTTTGAAATATATGTTTTTCCAGTTTTATTCATCAATATTCACGTTTCTTATTTTGCATGGGAAGTATGTAGAACTCAGACTTGAACGTGAGGAAATAAAGTAGCTTGTGGGAGGCTAAATCTGGTAATTTCATTGAAACATGTCTTATTCTCTCCCTCTCTCTCTCTCCTTTTATAATTATACATGTTTAATAAGGATCAACTCACCATCTTCCAATAATATTCAGTGTACTCAGTGAGTTCCACCAGATAGCAGGGAGAAAACTCCTTTTTTCTGCAAAACAAGTGTAAAATAATATAAACAATTAAACAGCCAAATATCAGAAGTCTAATGAATGTAAATAAAAAGATAAACTAAGTATAAAGGAAAAGTGTAACCTCAAATTTGTGAATTGAAGTGCTTAAAATTTAGTTTTTTTTTGCTTGCAATAAAGAATAAAGAACAAGAATCGGATTTCTTAGCTGTTTAACATTAGATTAAAAAACACACTCCTTTTTACAGATTAGTTGGCACTATAATAGAAATTCAAATGGACCTTTTATTAACTCCACAGGCCGACGTTGGATTGCTGCAACAGAACAGCCTCACAGAATGTTTGGTGTTATCCTGTTACAAAATAGAATGTCAAAACAAGCAAAGTTATCTTCCAATAAAATACTGTGTCCTAAACTGCTTTAAATTGGGAGAGAAACGAGTTGAAAATGGATTAGATCAACTCGCTTTAAATAAAGATGCACAAAGTACACAATCATGGAATGCTGCCACAGTTCAACAAAACCAAAAAAGCTGTGACAATGAAAACACAGTCTCGGTTACTAATCAACAAGTCTTAAAGCTGTGGAAATAAGATGAGCAGCTATGCTGCCACCCCATTCACAATCAAGACGTGCCAAGAAAAGTGAAAAGGAGAGAACGAATAAAAAAACAAAGTGAAAGACTGTGGACAACTGTTCAGGGAGCTGAAAATGACCAGATGTCAAAGTGTTGTTTTTTATCAACTTTCTCCTAATAATTTTAAGAACACTGCACCTGTGCTGAGCAAAATCTCTTGTAATAATTTGAAGCCACTTAAAGACTAATTGTAGTATTTATTTATTTGAGACATGTTTCATGGTTGTTATATTTTTACAGCAATTAAAATGTGTGACGGTCACCAAAGGCATCGCGGCTCATGTCAGTATCTGTAGAGCTGACCTCAGGCAACTGGCAAAAAAAGAGCATTTAGTTTTACTCAAGATGGTCTCACCAATGCATCAGCAGCTACAACAGATTTAACTGTCAATCTGAAACTTTCAGAATTTGAAACTTATTTTAAGTCAGTTATGCATGCTGGATTCTTTTTGTCTGTATGTCATAACAATAATTGCAAGTAAGTAGATCAGCGAGAAATAGGTTTTCTTTTGTGCTTGGAAAAATAAGCCGATCATTCCTGAATTTCTAACACATCTACAATAATTGTAATGAGCTTATCTGGAAGTAAGTTCCCAACTGATGATGTGCTTAAGCCTTTTACCCTCTCACTTAGAGAGTCTATGAAATCTATGATTTGATTAAGTTGTTCCATCACTAAAACATTAAAACAAAGGAGTATCTTAATATTTTATTATTTTCTCTAATTCCTCCCATCTGGCATGAAATAGGTGTAAACAGATTGAGAAATGTTTGCAAACGCTTTCTGATCAAGCTTTTATTTCTTATTCATTAAACATAGATAGCACTTCTAGGAGGGTTGTGTTTCTTTTAAACCTGGTTAAAGATTAGGATTTTGAAGTGTGATGCTGAGAGTTTTAAAATGTTGCCGTTCTTAATCATTCCTGATTTGCAAATAAATGCATAAATCCAACAAATACCAACATCCAAGAAATATGAAGCAAAATAATTTTGGCATTAATTGCACCATACGTGGTAAAATAAGAAGCATTTCTCTTTTTTTGCAACATTTGTTTCAAGTAGTGAACCAGTATCAATTCAGATTTTGGCCTGTAACACTATGTTTTGCTTGACCTGGTCATAACTGCATTATTTTGGAGACATCATTTCAGAAATCTTACATTTTATGGATTACTTTCTGTTGGATTATCACATAAAATTACAAAGAAATACATTGAAGTTCAATGATGTAACATGACTACAGTGTAGGTTTGCAGTATGAGTATTCTGCAAGACATTGTGTGTGTCCACTATAATTTCTGGCGGCAATCAGATGTTGGTATATTTTTTATTCCAGGTAATTTTACTTTTAAATTTGCAACTGTTGCTTATTGGCAGCAGAAATCCCCCTGACCCTTCTGTTTCCAACAACATCTCGCTTTACATGCAAAGTAAACACGTAGTACTAAATTTTAGCAGCTCCACCCAAGCGAACAACTTCCTCAAAGTTGATTTGACGAAAATGTCATGCAAACATTAACGTGTGGCAGACAACTAACATCATTCGATGCCCTGAAAAACTAATGGCTGGATCATTTTGTGCCGGTAATTCTGGAGGAAAACTTACCTGTGACTGTGTTGGAAGTCCAGATTTCAGCAGAAGAACAGCTTGAAATGTACAAGTAAAATTGCTAACAGTTTGGATGGGAACAGTTTGGAATACTCTTGTATTAAATTGGCTTAGACGAAATCTATCAGACATGAACAAGTTTTAACAAGTTTTTTTTTTTTTTTTTTTAAATGAAAAATTGAGTAAAATCTTCTGTTTCTATGTTTGCATAGCTTCTATACTTCCACCACAAAAGACAAATAACTGTAATTGCAATGAAAAGTATTTCTGCAATGCATTGACTTTTTAACATCAGAACCGCCGTATAATTTTCCAACATTTTCCCAATTATGTTCACCTTTGTGAAATTGAAATATGTCAGATTCTGTAATATCATCAATCAAAAAGATTTCTGTGGGAATAAATACTTTTGCAGGGAGCTGTACTGTGCAAGCACTATTAAGATACATTCGTACCCACGAAACAGCTTTGTTTTTCTTTTATTGTCACACAAACGAGACAACGAGAAACTGGCCAAGAGAAGTCTAGGCGAACGTTCAGGAAACTCCTTTTTTGTTTTTGTCGAGAGGAATAAAGGACATGCAGCTTCAGCAGCGGGCCATAACTGTGTTTTATGTCCACTTCATTTCCCTTGCAAATCAGCCTCACATTCTTGGGGTTTTCACAGTTCCCAGATCCCTCCCTTTTCACCAAAACATGCCATGAGTTGCTCAGGCTCATTAGGAGGGATGAGACTATTACCAGGTCTGCTGTCCCCATCCTGACAATGCTTACGTGGTCGGATAAGCAGCAGCTTAACTGGGTCCACCCTGCCGCTCCATCATGTTTAAGAGGGCAAAAGACCACAACTCGACTTCCAGTGACGCCCTTTCTTTCCCATCATCTTTACTTGACAGCTGGAATGTTGCAAAGTCTCAACAACACAAAATGTGAAAAAAAAATGTATTAATTAATTAAATTCAATTAATTTTCTATGTCGTTGTAATTTTTCTGCAACGTTTTGTGAGAGTGATTTTACACCACAAGCTTGAAATATAACTGAGACAAAAAGATTTGTTTAATTCATAGAACGTGTAGCCATTTGTTCAATTGACTGGGGTAGTTTATCTTGCAGTAAAGCTCTCCAATGCAGTTCATTCCTACCTATTTACATTTGGGCTTTCAAGAGTCTCAATCAGAAACTGTGGAGCTGTTCCAAGGAAACAGGACCCAAGCACCCTGAAGAGCCTTTTTGCCTCTCTTTTATTCACTCCTCTTCTTTCTCAAGAGTTCCTCCTGAAAGTATTTGGCAAACACTTGTGAAAAAAAAAGAGTTTGAGGGAAGAAAAACAACAAGTCGTTCTTGAGCCACCCACATCCCATCTGCTGTGGTATTATCTTCTTTTATTATCTTCAGATTATGTGCGCTGATATTATTTCAGCTATTTAGTCCGGTGGTCGCTGCGGTTGTTCTTATTGTTGTTTTTTTTTTGTTTGTTTGTGGAGTGCTGCAATATGGGGTGGGGGGGAGAAATTCTCCTCTTAGTGCATCTAATCATCCATTCAGGACCCTCTTAATGGCTTGTCAGTTCCCCTTGCCCTTCCATTTTCTGTCCAATTAATTCCTTTCTAGCTCTCCGGATAAAGGGACACAATAGGGCCCCATCCACAGCATAATGGATCATTAAAATTCAGCAGCGCGGCCCTGGCACTTGGCATCGCCCTTGGACTGGTTAGGGACGGTGGCTTGGCATGCCAGGGTAGAGCCAACTCTGGACCAAAGGAGACAGGATCTCTTCTCATTCCTTTTATGCTGTTGTTTAATGAATAAATCTGAAGTTGACAACTTTGATAGATATGTTGCTTTTGCAAAATCCAAACAATAAGATATCTAGAAATTAAGAGAAAAGAACGAAAAATGATGAAAGTTGTTTATAGGATTCTTGTTTTTTTTTTTTCCTAAATTTCCTGAGGAAAAAACATCAGCGAATCACGGAGATGAATATGAACCAACCAGCACCAAGGGAAACCCACAATTAAATGATGTCTTCTTTTATTATAGTTTTCACAATCGCTTCCAAATGTATTTGAGCACAAAAAAAAGTACAAAACGGAATAAGATGAGTTGTAGATGGAAAGAAGAGGATCAAAAACAAACATCGAGAAAAAGTATTATTTATTTTTTTGAAAAAACGGCCAGCGGAAGGGTTAGATGTGCGTGTGTGTGTGAAACTAGTTAATAGAACAATTATCTTCACAGCCTTTTTTTTCAAAATCATACACCAAAATGATATACAAAAAATGCAGTTCTGCTCTATTTGAAATTCTGCAAACTGATGCTTTAGGGAATTATATCAAATTAAGGACAGGAATTAAAAGCGAGTCTCTTGAGTGGATGGTTTGTTAGTTAAAAATTCAATTTAATTCCAAAATACTGACAATTAGCATTAGAAGGCACAAACACATTTTTATGCAGCAGTGAGTCGGCTTTCAATTGTTTATGAAATAAATATTTTAAAAACAGTCACGCTTAACATCACTTTCAGTAAAATAAAAGAAAAAAAAGATGTTTTTTGTATCATTTGGTGTGTATTATGATTATGTCATGGGATATGTACTCAGTCCCCTAAAAAAATAGACTCACACATTCATCTGCACATTATCTCTCCCAACACACGGATGCATGTTTCCACCCGTATTCTCGCGTTCCCCATGGACATGTACAGGAGGTCCAGCTGACGTGTCACTCAGCGTGTGGTGTTGTTTTACCCCATTTCCTTTAAGCCCGCAACATGACTAATCGCGATTTGCCAAGCGTAGATTTCAGACACCTGTTCTGAGTCTTGCGCCAGAGTCTGTTGGTCCTGTCTGTTTGCTCCCAAACTCGGAATGGAGATCCTTCTGGAAATTCAACGGAATATCAAATGCACGGTGCTTTACTTCATTTACCTCCTTTTCATTAAGTCAGTAAAACTGTACTCTAAATAACAAAAAATAACAACCCACATGTAGCATGTGTTTAACTATTCAAAAACAAAAATCCAATAATGCATCAACATAAATACATATAAGACTTTTTATGCAAAAATGACACAAAATATCGATGAGCCTTTTTTTTTTTCTTTTCAGGCTGAATCACTGATGCAAATAGTGTGCTGCGATATGTAGCTTCAGCCATTCATGTAAATTTTACTGCAGCTTCAACATATCTGGTTCTGTGTGCACTGTTAGCCAAACTTTTTAATTTTTGCAGAATTCTGCAGCCGGTCTGCACCTTCACCATAAAGGTGCACTTTTGCAACTTGAAACTGGAAAAGGACATGGATGTACAAGATGTCAGCTTAAGTAACGTGTCCTCACGGAGGAGTTTGGCTCTCTAATGACACACGCAAGTTCTCCTTGTGTAAAAACTCTGTACAAGTGTGTGTGTTTATTTATTTTTTTTTCATCTCAACAATAGAACTTTGTATAAAATCAGCAGGCACTTTTTCTTTTGTTTGTTTCACGTTCACACGGTCGCAGGTGGCTCCACAGGCCCCTTCATACAGCTCTTCTCCTTTGCCTTACGTCCTTCATTAGTAGTGCATCAAACTGAATGAGTCTCTGGTGCAAACAGACTGTTTCTGGTCCCCTTTAAGGTCGAGACAGAGTGGTATAGACGGGCTGGTCCCAACTGGGGGTAGTGGGGCTGTGGGACGGAGCCATGGATAGACTATTCAGGATCGGGCTGCTGTAGGGCCGCCTGGATGAGTGGAAGTAGGGGTACTGATAGAGACTGGAGGGGTAGCCAGAGTAAGGACTGTAATAGTTAGAACTCTGCAGGTCGGTATAGTCACACTGGGAGCTGGAGAATGACGCAGCACCCGAGGCGGCCGAAGTGGCCGAGGTGACACAGGCTTGGCTGCTGTAGGAGCTGTAATCAGAGTGTGACGGCGACCCATGGGAGTGCTCACTGTAGTGGCTGGGGCTCAGCTGCTCTGTTTTTATGTGGAGGCGGTGCTGGCCGACCTCGCCGGTGGAGGGAGAAGTGGAGGACATGCCGCACTTTCGGCTCCAGGATGAAACACCACTGCCGTACGAGGAAGCGTAGGAGCTGCCGGGGACTGGAACGGGCCCATGACTGTGATCTGAGGATAAGGCAGCGGAGCCCGACGCGGGGCCATTCAACGGGAGGTACTGGTCAAACTCATGAACATCAAAGGTCTCCATGTTGCTGATGACATCAGTGCTCAGCTCGTTGATGTCCACATTGCTGAAGTCAATATTCTGCCTGCTGCTGTCAGCAGGGCGGCGGCCTTCATGCTTCAGGTCCTGCTTAACTCCGTGGTGAAGGTCTGTTTTGGGGGTGGTGGGTGGTGTAGGTGGTCCATGAGGCTGCCCTGAAAAGAAAAGTCAAAATAAATGTTAAGATCACTTAAAACACAAAACTAATAATGACCCTTAAAAAGTAATAGCCCTGTCTGCAGTTTTGGTTGACATACCTGCATGTTCAGGGTGGTGGTGTCCATCAGGCATTCCTGCCAGCCCCCCCATCCCTGGCTCAGCTTTGTACATGTGATGTGCCAACTCTGCCCCTGAATCTGAGTCGCTCTGCCCTGGTTTCACATTCTTCCGTCGCCGTGGCTGGTACTTATAGTCTGGATGATCTTTTTTGTGCTGAACCCGCAGTCGCTCTGCTTCATCTACGAAGGGCCTCTTCTCACTTTCAGAAAGCAGGCTGATATAAAAAGTATTGAAGAAAAAAAAGTTTTTAAATTTCAAGAGCAAACCACAGAAAAACAATTGAGAAAGCTACATTTGAATTTAAAAGTTTATTTTGAGCATATTTGCTGTCGTAACTATAGTTTTCTTTAAATAAATTTCCAAATTGTATCTCCCCAGTTTCCTGCATTTTCATTGCAACCGAGTTCATATTTGCAGTTATATTATCAGTTAATGCTTGGTGATTATCTTATTCAAAGATTAGTTATATTTTCATTTTACGGCATACATATATCCCAGTAATTAAATGTTTCTTACCGCCAGAGTTTTCCCAGTGTCTTGCTCAGCTCAGCATTGTGCAGATGTGGGTACTGATCCGCCAGCTTCCTGCGGGCCGCCTGTGCCCACACCATGAACGCATTCATGGGTCTCTTGACGTGCGGTTTGTTCTTCAGGGATCCGTTCCCTCGCACTGGCATCGGGACCAGGGACCAATCGTATCCCTTAAGGACCTGCGAGACCGCGTCCCGTATGCAGGCTGGGAAGCGCTCATCGTCCTCGGAGTCCAGCTTCTTTCCCAAACCGCCGAGCAGGGATCCGTGACCATCAGAGCCCGTTGGCGAGGACGGCGCGTCGGAGTCGGACTCGTCCTGAGACATGGAGCTGTTTGTCCCTGATGGACTGCACGGCTGGTCGTTGAGAGACTTTTCGTGCTCCTCTGTCATTTTCAACATAATGCAATTAGTCCAGCACAGGTGAAAATCCAAAACTGTGTTAGAAATGAAACAGAGAAGGGACCCCGCAGCAAGAGTTCCGCTGCGCCTTTTACACACGATGCGCCCTGGTTCAATTCCTTGAACTGTTTCAGTCACCTGGAGCCCCGATTTGTTTGTCTTGTTTGTCTTAAGCTGCCATTGGGGGTGCGGTCGTCAAAGTTTCTGTTCACAATATGAAACCAGGAGCTACATGTTACTGCAACTTGACTGGGACTTTTAAATCGTTCAGCCCTCCTTCCGCCTGGGATTGGCTGGAGCAAATCAGCACCTTTTCCTCATTGGTTGGGGGAAATGTGTGGGCTTCATTATGATAATGCTGGGGGGGTTTCATGGTTTTTTATGGCTCTTCTGAAACTGCATGAATTGAGATATTCTCTAATATATCTCAGTTCATGCACTTATAATATTCATATATATAATCATATGTGTGTGTGTGCGTGTGGCGTGTGTGTGTGTGTTCACTCAGAAAATGGTTTTCTAAACGGTGTTTGTCATTGATAATAAAAAAAATCATATTAGATATGAAGGGGAAATTGACAACTATGAATGTTGTAATATATTCTGGACATGTGTATTGGATTCTACACTGTAAAAATTTACTTTGGAGGATGCAAAATTTTAAGTTAATTAAATCACATACTAAGCAATATGTATGTAAACCAAACATATTAATATAATTTTTCTGCCACAGTTAGCTTTGATGGTAAATCCTACCAAATATTTGAAGAAAAAATTAACCGAAGATGTTAATTTTATCAAAAATATTTGCTTGTACTGCAGAGACTGATAAACGTTTGCATTATAAATATTTTTACTCACTCAATAAACGTTACAAATTTCCATAAGGTCCACAAGATCTTTGTGTTGGAGTGGACATTTATCTTGTACCCAATTTTTGGGTACAAACATAAATTGCAGGGGTGCTGTTCCAAAAGCCAAGCTAGTTGGAAAACAATGTTTTTTAACTATGAGGTAAAAGTTGCTTCAGAATGCTAAAATTTAGCTACGATATTCAGAGAAAAAGTTCTTGTTTCACTTTATTAGAAGAAGTTTAAATATTTATAGAAAGCTTTTACTAGCTTTTGGCTGCCTGGAAACCACCAAGATGACTAATGACTGTAAGACATGTAACTGATTCTTTAGACTTGAGACAACAATCTTACTGATTTAACAAAGTAACGAGTGTTCCAGTATCCAAACATGTACTATGCAAAAATTGATCATTTCCAGATCTGACTGTCAAAAATGAAAAAGAACGTAGAATTAAATGTGGACATAGAAAAACATTAAAAAGGAAAAAATATGAAAAATTGTCAGCCACATGGAATGGTATTCATGAAGTAAAATAAGGGGAAAAAAACACAAAACTTTCCAACTAGCTATTTTGCAGCAGATCAGCCAATTATGTGATATAATTTTAGAACTCTTGTTGCTTTTTGTCCTGGTAGAATAAATTTCTCATTAAACAAAAAGTAATTCAGTCACAGACAAGCTTCTGTAGATTGAGATGTCAATGTTCCATTTTTGTCTTCATTTTAATATTTCTTTAGTCAAGAACCGCATTTAAATTTAAGCAAATGTAAAACATGAGCTTTGCTTCAGAACCAACTTCATCTTGAAAAGTTCAGTCATTATAGGTTATCATGAGCCCTTTTACAACTTTAACAAAAAGTTTCAACCTTTACAAAGTGAGGATGTTTCCACAATAAAGCCTTTCACATCCAGTGAAACATCCATTTTATGACCCTGAAGGTACATTATCGGGAGAAGGAGAGATAAGCAGCAGGACTGAATCACTGTCTTTGTTGCAGCTGTCTTTGTTCATGTATTGTGGGATGATTTTTATCACTGACCTCCCTGTGAAAAGACAGGGTATGTGTCTACTGGACGGCAGTTTACCTCGCTCCATGGACACTGCAGGTGGCTGAGGGAACAGGATCTCTAATGTGGAAATAATGGAAACTGACACTTATGCATGCAGAGTTCTGGTGGCTGGTGCAAGGTAAGTTATTACAATATTGACTTTTACTAAGCCTGATCATAAGTTGAAAAAGTGTTGCACCTGAAGCTTTAAAGTCTGATGAATGACAAAGACTTGTAAACGATTTGCATGTCGAATGAGGCTGGCTTCCTTTTTAGCAGCTGCTTCCAAAGCTCTAGGGTCAAGTTTAACATGTGTGCATGTCTAGGTGGGTGTGCATGTGTGTGTGTGTGTGCGTGTGTGTGTGTGTGTGTGTGTGTGTGTGTGTGTGTGTGTGTGTGGACAGCAGCTAACAGCTTAACTGGGTCTGGCTTCAATCTATTCCATGGAAAAGTGCTTACTCATAGTGCATGTTTCCTATGAGGAACATACATGCATACATGGAGTCAACATGCAAATTTCAACCAACATGACATGCATAAGCATCACACAAGATTCCTGTCATTTCCACAAACAAAATACAAACTGTGCTTTTGGGTTGTAGAAGAAATTTATGATAAGTGCAGCTAAATATAGTTGAAAGGTAAATCTTCAGCAGCATTATCAACTTACATGACAAGATGTATGTTGATAAAGCTGTATGTTGTCAAGATGAGTTTACTAGTCATCTTGACAAATGGGTTGCCAAAAGAAGATATATTGTGATGGACAGCAAAATCAAGAGAATCTAAACTAAATGAGTTACTTGGGGGGCTTTTTTGTTTTGTTGTTTTTTTGGAAGGGAGTTTTTTTGGAAACTTGCTTCAAGGGACAGAGGATAGAAGACAGTTTTCACCAGACCTGGCCTTCTTCCCTGTAATGTGGGGAGAAACTCTAGCCAGGGTATGTGGGCTCCAAATTAGAACAGGAAGGAGCAAAAGAAGACGAGGTAACCAAGCATGAACCTAATGTGTCCCTTGGAGTTAGGGAAGGTTTTCATTTTTCTGTTTCTTCTGATTTTGATCTCAAAATTGTGGTGAAAATTTTCAGATTTTTAGAACTAGCTTGCTCGCTTCTCCTCCATGGGTCCAAGTCGCCTCTATCCCACATGTAAATTATACTCCCTGGCTTCTAATGTGCATACTAAATTAAATTACACAGTCACCCACAGGAATCCTTCTCCCTTTGGTCTCTGCTTCTGTGTTTTAATACAGTTAGGCACATTTCTTAACTCTTGGCAAGTTATTAAACTGAGTATGTGGAGCAGTTGCACTGACTTGATATTGCACTGTTTAGATTCAAATTTGAACAGCGGCTCACCATGTGTTCACAGTAGTTTCATATTTTTAATTAGTATATTTGTCGTGCACAAACCTCAGTGTATTTTAAAGGCATTTCTGGGATATTTTATCACGAAGTGCTGTGATAAATTGTGAAGTGAAACAAAAACAAATTCTACATATAGTTTACTTAAACTTTCAGGAAACCACTTGCTTTCCATGTTCCTGAGCCTGGTTTGAATTGGCAAGTGCAAAAGAGCATTTGATGCATTTCAGCAACACAATGCTTTCTTCTGGCTACTCTTCTATAAATGCCAGGCATGTGAAGCGCATAGCTCCTGTTAAGAGGCTTTTCTGGGCGGGTGGTCTCTGCAGCTCCTCTAAACTTACCTTGGACTTCTTGACTTCTGCTCTGATTAATGTTGTGTGTTCTCTAATGTTCTCCAACCAGGCTTTCATACATTTTAAAGTAAATTCTAAAGGAAATGTGTTGCTTTCAATTTTAATAAAGGGGTTTCTAAGTAGAAGGAGCTAAACACATACACACTTCACACTTTTCAGATTTTTTTTGTTGTTAAAACAAAATTGTCTCATTTTTTTTTAAATTCAAGCTCAACTTAGTGTATCACATCAAATCCTAATGATATACAATTAAGTTTATGATTATAATGTCACAAATTATAACCACATATCAATACTTTGAAGCACTTTGAAAGGCCTTGTTGCTGAAAATATGCTATGTAAATAAAATTACCTTACCTTACTTTGGGAAGAGTATGAATGTAAAGAGCAGAATCGGTTTGCAAGTAAAAATACAATAAAATCTGGTCATGTGTTGAGTAAACCTGTTATAAAAAATCACATTTTCATGTGCAGTTTATGGAATCTGCACCACGAAATGTCTGTCACAAATTCTATACAATTTCCCACATGGATAACAGCTGTCTCCACAGCCACAGAGTCTCCCCAGCTAAACTTTAACCCAAACAGCAGGCCTTCATTTGGTTAAATAATCTCTCCGGATGAGTCAACATAAACTGGGCGAACTGTGGAGAGTGGCATGTCCTCCTTTTCACCCAGACAATCCCAACCACCGCACAACCACATGTGGACAGAACTCCTGGGCTGCTGACAAACTGTGCTTCACCCCAACCCCACATCAACCAGACCACTTCTATCTTTGGTTTCACACACTAAGGAAGAATGTAATTAGTGCAGACTTTACAGTTACAGTGAATATAAGTGGGAGGCTCGGGTACCAGACAGGAGAAGAATGAACTTTTCTGTCACATAATCCAACATCTTGCTACCTAGAAGAGGACAAGATATAGGATAGGGTCAGGTTACACTTTTAGATGAAGATATTTAGAGGACTGTTTGCTCATATATCATCGGTGACTGATCCATAATATCTTCCTCTCAGCTGCTCCACCTCTAAACTCCAAACAGCAGATTTTTTCTGTTTTGGTTTACAGACAGATATAGGTTATCTGACTGGTGAGGCCAAAGATCTGGATATATTTGACTGGACTGCTTCTAATCACATGACAGCTGCTCTGTGTTAGTACCTCCTGTTGACATTTGACCTCACAGTATCCTAAATTCATTAAAATGCCATAATGACGGTTTCACCGAATCAACAACAGTTTTTTTTTTTCCAACTTATTAGTAAAGAAAGAAAGGTGCAGGGATGGGTGAGTGTTTAAAACCTTATGGTAACTGTTATTCAAAATATCTCTGGGTGTGTTTGGCTCTCAGTCAGTCTTTCATTTTAATGTCAGGAGCATGAAAAAAGCTAAAGTGTTTCCAGATTATTTGGTGCATTTTCTTGTCGACATGACTGTTTTGTGAGGCAGCAGTTTTGCAGATGATTGTATGTTGTGTTCAGTTGAATTTGCAAAGATACATAAGGATGTTTTTATTACAATGACACGATAAATCAACTTTTTTAAGTGTTTGTCGTTAAAATAATCAATATAGTCTGTTTCTTGTTGGAATGTGTTTAAATAAGCACATTTACAGATAATGTTTATATTTTCCTTATGCACAGAACTTAGAAAAGTTGTTATAACGTTAAAATGTTATTTTCCTGAGAATAAACCACTTATGTTTGATCAATATAATATCATGCTGCTGCAATGTACTCTTCAAATGTGAACAAGATAATATCATATTACGATTATACATTTATTATGTTATAATAAAAAACAGCATCTGCTGCACTGTGGTTGCACATCTGTGTTCTCTTTGAACAGCTAGGCCCATAAATCTTCATAGCCTTCACAGATTAAAATATATTTATTTTAGATTGTTTTGTTTCAGGAAATGAGAAAGACATCTACATAAAAAAAATGCAGACAGTTTTTTTAAAACTATTTTTAGTTATGTTTATAGACAAAATGGTGAGCTGGATATGATTAACTCATCACTACTCAATGGAACAATCTGTGTAGGCATTAAAGCAATCAAACTCTTCTTTTCCACTGCTCTACCTGGACTGCCTGAAATCCAAATGAAACTTGCCAACCAGCGTATTTTATTAAAATCAAAATGTTTGAGAGAAACTCAGCTAAAGGTTTTAAACAAGCAGTGCCACTGAAACTAAACTCAATTCAAGCATTTTTATTGAGACTGTGACCAAAACTTGAAACTTTTCTGCTTTATTGCACCACTTGGAGCACTCCCCACCCACACACACACACACACACACACACACACGCGCACACACGCACAGACACACGCACGCACGCACACACAGCTTCCTCACCCCAAATCCTTTATAGTTTCAAAGGAGAGAATCCTCTCTTCACAAAGATGTTTCTCCCATTCAATGTTGTCAAAGAAGAACATAAACATCCAGCTGAGTGGTCTAAAACATTCTGAGTTTACTTTGTTTTTATTTGAATTTAGCTTAAGAGTTTTTTTGGGGTTTTTTTAAGTTTGTTTTTCTGCTTTCTTACAACAGTACAAGCAACTTTAAGATGCAATTGTAGTTTACTGTGCAGATAAAGTAAAAAAGACTCCAGGGATGGAAAGGAGAATGTTCTACTTCGTGACAGTTGTGTAATAATGCTGGTTTCACTGATATTTATTTACGAGGTGTAAAAACTCTTGTTTGTAAAGAATGAGCATGAATTTGTATTAGAAATTGATTTGTGTGTTTCATAATTGTCGTAAACAAAACAGTTTCTGACAATTATCATAAAACATATTTGTCTTTAATCATTTACGAAGAGTGGAAATGCCTGGTTCTTTCTTCCCCCGGCATGATATAAATATGATTTACTGTGCCCTTTTTTCTCTTGTCATCATGTTTTGAAAGGAATTTGTGGTCTATGGAGTTTCCCACATTGTCTACTTTTTTATCTTTGATTTTCTTAAATCATCTCCTTAATTTTCCCATGAACTACATGGCTTAAACCAGGCAAATAGTTTGAACAAGGCTAAGGACAGGCAGAAAAACAGTGAGCCCACCCTTTACGGGAAATGGGAGGCTGCGTTGCAATACCAAGACTATTTAAATGGCTTCATCTGGCTTTAGAAACTTTACCTTGTAAAGTGAAGATTTTGTCTACCTTAATGCGTCCAGAAACAGAAAGAATCCCAAAACACTTGTGATTCTTTATTTTTCATAAAACAAAAATGAAAGCAAAACAAAAAAATGTGCATGTAGAAGTTTGCAGAAACAGGACTATCTGCAGAAGGGAACGTAACCCAGGCAGTACAGTGCAATACGAAACCTCAAATCTCCTGGGTGCTATTCACATATTACAAGATAATTTATATGCTATTAAAGTGATTTTTGGTTTGGTGGATCAAATTCTCCAATTAGGCCTCCAGTGTACCGGGCCAATATTTATAAGCACCACTTAGTCTGTCTGTCTCCAGCCAGTCTGCAACCTTTGAAGGAATGACTGCAGTCAAAAGCACATTAGCACACCTGCTGCTAACTGGTTTAACAATCAGTCTGTGATCACCAGTTTTATTAGCTTTGTCTTTAATTATGAAATGTTTCAGCAATACAGTTCTTCCCATGGAATGTATATTTCGTATATTATGGAATGAATAGTTGTTATTCAATGAGAAGCTCATAAATCCTCATCTTAGACACAGTTTTGCACACATTCTTTCAACTCCTAAGCTTACTCCTTTAAACACCCACCAGGGTCTGCACTGCGAACTGTAAAAGGCATTGTAATGATATCCACAAAAAAGCCCTACACTTACAAATTATTACAATATGGAGAATGAGAGTTTGAAGTTCAAAAAATTCTGAAGGGAAAGAAACCATTGGAAACTACAAGACAGGAGATTTGGGTGAACAAGACAACCACCTCAGACAAACATGAGAGCTGCTGTAGGGAGGTTTCAAAACATCAATGTGTTGAATTGAGCCAATCAAATATGAAACCTAAATCCATTTGAGAATTTCTGGGCAAGACTTAGAAATTTATCTGCAATAAAAGCCAACAATAATAAAACTTTACTGAGCATGTCAAAAATAACAGGGAAACATTTGGTCTCTGTATGTGTAAATGAGACATACCTCAAAAGACTTGGTGATGTCACCAAAGTGAAAACATATTGATCCTGCTGGGATAAATATGATTGTATATCACATTGTTCCCGTTTTTATTTGTAAAGATATTATAAATTATGTCATTTTTCTTAAATGTCACATTTATGCACACTTTCTGTTTGTCTCACACACAAATGACACACAATGACATGCTACAACTCTCTTCTCTATATATATAATGTATGTTTACTTTTTGCACTTCATGCTGTTTATATAAAATGCTGCTCAGATTCATTTTATATATAAAATATTCCTGTTTGCTTTAGCTTCAAGGCAAGAAACTGCATCGTGAACATTGATGACTTTGAAGGAATAGGAAAATAAAATGAGCAATGGTTGCCTCTGAGATTGGTCGAAAATTGATATTTAGCTACATAGCTTCTTAATATTTAAATCATGAAAGCAGAAAATTGTTAATTTTTCCTTTCCCTGACCGTTGTTTATTATGACGGCTTCATTTATGTCTGCTTGTCTTTACTCACAGTCATATTCACCACATTCTCGTGAAGGATCCCATTCGAGGGGCATTCTGCACAGCTTCCCTACCAACTGTCACACTGACATATTTTGCCTTAGGCAGGGAAAAAAGGAAGCAACTGCAAACCGTTTACACTGGTTAAAGGTGCAGGGCACTGTGTTTGCGCTCACTTCACTATTTCTAACTGTTAGCCTGATTTTAAGACTAGAACAGTGCGGAGAGCAACATTTACTGTGATATGCTGAAGTAAATTTTGGTTTAGCCATGCTACAGATGAAGTTAATGTTTAAGGTGGTAATGTCTGGGGACTTTCATTCATGACTATGTGTTGTTGTATTTCCCATCTCTTTAACACTACGCCTGCTTCATTCTGGTTCATCTAACCTTTTTACTGGCCTACAGACTAAATTTCTTGTTTTGTTTGTTCTTAAAGATTATTTAGTGCAATTCCCTGAAAAAATTGTACTTTAATAGTATTTTACTGGATGGTTATGTGACAAACCAATGTGTACATAATTGGGAAGTAGGAAAAAATTGTACATGCCCTCCAAAGTTTGTACATAGAACCATAATCTAATTCATGTTCATATATGTTTTGACCTGATCATTTCCATTGTGGCTGATTTCCATTGTGGCAGGTTTAGGACTGTTGTTCTGCTGAAAGGTGACTCTGTCCCAATCTCAAGTCACCACCTCAACTGTTTTTATTCTGCAGTCAGCTCCAACCATGTTCTCATTAACGCTAGCCAGCTTCCCCACAGTCTTAGTTTTGAGTCATATATAAGGATTGCATGAAGATGGAAATGTTTAATTTGGCTTCATCTCAGCAAAGTACTTTCTTCCACGTGTTTGTTGTGACCGCTACATGACTTTTAGTAAGCTGCAAGTCGGACTTCTTATAACTTTTGATCAGCAAAGGCTTTTTATTTGCCACTCTTCAACAGAGGCCCAATTAATAGTTATTGTGTCGACAGATTCTCTAATCTAAGATGTAGATCTCTGCAGCTCCTCCAGAGTTATGATGGGTTTCTAGGCAGCAGTTCTTATTAATGCTTTCCAACTCTGCCCAATCAATTGAGGGAATAAGATAATTTCCAAAAGAAATCAGTTCTTCTGGATTATATTTAGTTTTATAAAAGTAAAAAAAAAAAAAAAAAAAAAATAGAATACAAATCTTGCCCAATAATTAATACTACAGTTGCTCCGGGTTGAGTTACTGAGGGTTATTTGTCACCTTTGGTGAACTAACGAGAGCTTTTTGTCATCTGCGATGACTGTCAGTGTGCTGATAAAATTACGTAGCAGCTGGAAATCACCTGCATTTGATTGCACTCATCACATTCACTTTGAATTACATTGCTTTAGTTTTCTGTGTAGCTCTTTCTGTGAAGTTTTTTTTTTTCCATATAACTTCAGAGGACATTTTTACTTAACATTTTCAGTTATGTGACAAACTATGTTTTTCTTATTCACTCAAAAATAAAAAAATGATAAACTTTCCACTTCCTTTTATTTGCCTCTTGTGCCTCAGAGCTGATCCAGTCAGCTTTTGGCAACATTATAGATGGACATAGTAGCTGGCTTTAACAGTGGTTCCCAACCCTGGTTCTCAGCCCCACTGTCCTCAAAGTTTTTGATGTTTCCCTTTTCCAGCACAATTGATTCAATTGATTAGATTACCTCCTTAAAATGCCTCCAATTGCTGCAGATAGCCAACTGGGCACGTAAAACATGGAGGGCCAGAATTGTGTATGGACAAATCTGCTGTATGATACTGAGATCTCTTAAAACAGCGAGATTTTAACATGACTTTGATTAGGCCACTCCAACACTATCACTTAGATTTCTAAATCTTTTAAAGGGAGAATTGGTAGTGTGCTTTGGATAATCGTTTGGCTGCATGAACCAAGTAATCTTCAGGTCATAAACTGATGTCTGGACATTTCAGAATTTTATGCAAGAGCATAAGTTATGGTTCGATCAGTTACCACAAGTTTAAAAAAGCATTGAAACCGCAGACTACCACTCTGCCACTATCATGTTTGATTGTTGTTAGGTAGTTTTATATCAAATGTAATGGGATTCACAAAGTTCCACTTCTGCCCCATCAGTTTCCAGAATATTTCCCCAAAATTTTGAATATAACCAAGATGTTCTTTTGTCAAATCTCATATGGGTCTTTGTGTTATTTTTGTCAGGAGTCACCATTCCTGGATCCCCACCATTCTAAGCAATGGAAAGTGCTGTTCTTCACTGGATGAATAAAGGTATTTAGTGGGATTCACTGGAAGCCCAACACCTCAGAAATGGTTTTGTACAACTTTCCCAGGTGATAGATTGTAGAGATTGTTTTTCATCTATTCCTACAATTCTTTTTACTGCCACATATTACATTGCCTTTTGAAACTGTTATCTTAGACTTCTGCCTTTTGTAGTTTTTCTGGCTAAGTTTGTCAAATTTTACAATTAAGGGGGCGACTGTGGCTCTGAGGATTGTGTAGTCGTCTTGTGATCAGAAGGTTGTCAGTTCGATTTCAGCTTCTTCCTCTCACATGTCGATGTGCCCCTGAGGACTACACTTGACCCCAAAATGCCTACCAATCTGCATGTCAGTGTGTTAATGTGTGTGTGAATGTTCTTTGAGTGGTCAAAATTATCAGAAAAGCTCTACAAACGATCATCTAATTCAATGGCCCACATCATTTTCATGTGGCTAAACTAAACAACAGCAGAAGAAATCTTTGAGGGAGCAACTCATTTATCACACATCTATAGCTGCAAAACGAGTCCTTTAAAACTGGCATCAAAGTCACAACTCCTGCACTTATTGCCTAAAGGAAAGGAAACATTATTTTGTTTGTTGATGCAAATTCTGAGTAAGAGTTGCCTGAGGTGCGTTTGGGGTAAGGAGAGTAGAAAAACCCTGGAGACTCCTGCTTGTGTGTTGTCTAAAGTGCAAAATGGCATTCATGTGACACTGCATATTCCAGAGGCGTGAGGTTCATTATACGTGAGCTTGCCAGAGAAAAATGTTGTTAATGGGAAACAACCAGACTACTTTCTCTGCTCTGCAACAATTTTTTTGTAGAGCAGGTTCTCTCCTGTTCCTCTTTCACTAGCTTTTGTGTTCATCTGCATGTTCAGACTTAGCAACACATAGTGTGACAGTGACAGTTAAAATATCAGTGCAGCTCAGTTTATTAGATACTTAGCCATTCTGCTTTTTTTAATCAATATCTGCTACTGTACATTAATTCACACTTTATTTATGATGACACTGGTACACGCCATGCGTAACAGTTACCGCCCTTTTTTTCCTCTCTGTCTCAACTGCCCATCTTCCCTCCTCCTTCCCCGCTCCTCTCCTGGTTGCAGTTGTATTTGTGCGCCTTGGGAAGATTACAAAGAGGTGCTTTGTGAGGGGATGCAGCTGCTGAAATTCAACTAGATCCAGCTGAAGAGAGAAGGGAGCAGGTGGGTCAACAACGCCACCCTGCTGTTCCCAGAATATCAGGCTGCAGAGCTGTGCCTCCCTTTTTTATCCCCCAGCACAGATAAGCTCTGACACATGCACACACATCCACAGCGATCCCGTTCCTCAACCAGCATATGCACACAAACTCTGCGCCGTGTCGAAACACAAATACTGTTTACACCCACATCGCGGGAATACAGCAATATGCACGTGTCAAAAGGGCTGCCTCTGTGGAAATACTGCCCACTCATACAAGCGTGTTTAACAAGAATCATTCAAACAGTGGGAGAATGTTGGCAGACAATTACCAACACAAAAATAAACCTTTCCAACACTGAAATTGGTTCTACCTATATTTCTAAGGCACGCCTTTGTTGCTTTATTCTCTAAATTCATTAGAAGCAGTAAGGATGAGGAACGACTGCAGAAAGCAGAGGAAGATCCTGTCAGCTTTGTGAAATGAAGACCTTAACAGACCAGGATGCTGCCAAAATGCAGGATTTCTGCATCACAATGGGGGACATTTGTAAGATGACCTTCATCCGTCTTTGTAGTGCTTGGTGGTAGGGAATCGAGAAAGGAATGAAAGAAAGGAGAGGAAGTCATACTGGCCAGTGTTTCTGCTTGCTGAATGGGATTGCATGTCTAACTATCATCCTTGCAGGGAACTTAATATGGTTGGACCAAAGTTTTATAACATCCATATAAACTTATTTATTTATTTGGTTGTCCTTTGTGCAAGACTAGTAGACACAGAAGATGAGTAATTCTAAACATACTGAGGAAATTATGAGAAGAAAGAAAATTAGATCAACATCTATTTACCATGCTGTCACGTCCCAAAATTAAAAAGTTATGGTAGATATGGTGTAAAACTACACTTTTCATTTGCTAAACTGTTATTTATAAAGATAAATAATCTATTTTAAAACCAAAAAATAAAAAAATTAACATAAAAACAACATTTTCAAAGCATGAAAAATTATTAAATCTTAATCTGGATTCTATTTTTAATAAAACAAAAGTAATGTTAACGCATGTATCTCTGAATATCCTTATTTCATTTTTTGGATGAAATAAGGATATGACTAATTGCACCAGGATACCATTTGGCAAAATTTAATGTTCACTGGATTACTGTGTGGTGTCAAATCTTTTTTCACTTTGTATTTTTATGTTTTTATGACAAATAGAACTTTGAACTGCCTTGCTGAAATGTGCTAAACAAATAAACTTGATTGTTTGATGAATTAATTTACTTCAATTTGTCCAGTAGATTTTCTCCCCGTCAAGTCAGCAAACAGAGTGAGATTTGAATGGTGATGTTAATTTTTACTGTTTTAGAATCAAAGTCGGCCTGTATGTTTAGTCATGGCAGCGGAAGAAGTGATTGAAGCCATTCAGTCTGACTTGGCCACCTCAAAACATTGAATTAACATTAACAGCCGCTTCGTTCGGCTCAGCAGTTCTCTCTTTGTGGTGGAGCAAGGTTCTCTACAGCGTAGGCGATTTCAGGTAAACGTCATAGTGCCAAACTGTCACATTACATATGTCACAGGAAAACATTTAAAACTTTAACAAACTCCACTCCTCCAGGAAGCAATCATTTTTTAATATCTTAGGACCCTGGCCCTCTGTACAAGGGGCTGGTCCTTACCAGGCTAACAACACATAGCCCTCATTATATTTTTATGGGAAAGACAAAGCATTTGTTGATGTTGATAAATCCTTTAGTCTCGTCAGTAACCGACTCAAATGAATGATAGATTTTACAGTTTATCTAGCATAATGAAGTGAATATATGAGCACAAATGACATTTTGCGAAAACTAACTGTTGACTGCATTATAAAGCTTAAATTGTGGAAAAAGTTATCATTTGTACGACTACATTACTGCAGTTCCCTCATGAGAGAAGTGACTGCATGTGGAAAAGTGAGACTTCCTTCTACATTCATTGTTCTTGAGTTTCACAAAAACACTGGTGGTTAACATTTGATCTTGTGAAAAAGCCAGTGCTTACTCCTATAAAAAATGCTGTTTCTCTCTGGACAAATTGCTATCTTTTTGTCTTTATCTTTTGAGCAACAAAACTTAACAAATCATCACCCTTATGGGAACAAAAGACAACAAGTCTAAAAGTTATGACGGATGTAAAGCCCTTCTCTTTTCTATTTTTAAAAATTCTTTGTGATATGTATCAGTGTGTCATAATTTTTATGAGTTAAACCAATTAGTTGTAAGCTGTTCCACTGGCTTAATTGAAACTTAAACTCTATTTATTTCAGCATCACACAACCTTTACCTATTATTTATTGGCCATGTATTTCATTTTAAGCTTTGATGGTATCAATTTTAAAATGCAAATTCTACCCAGTCTACATCAATATAGAATCAATAACGTAGTTTCAATTTGCTCCAATTTCCTGCAAACATGTTCTTGTTGTCAGGGAAACATGCAAATACACACGTCTGTTTCAGAGCAAATAAATTTGTTTTGACAGAAAAAGAGAAAGAGAGAGAGAGAGAGAGAGAGAGAGAATGCTTACAGCAATGAGATAAATACCATTTGAGGGCATTTATGTTCCTTTTTCTTCTCATTTTAAATTAAATGTGTAGTTTTTGTTTTGTTTTGTTTGTTTTTGTCCGCTTTGTTTTTCGCTTGAGGATCATGTGCTGCTCTGGTGTGAAGGCTTGTGTTGTTCTTTGGAAAATCTACCTTGCGACCCTGAAAAACATTTCCTTTCCATTATATTTATATGGATTTTTTAAATGAAATATAAATCAGGACATCGTATATGTAATATAAATATTTAACAAAATATCACCTTTTGTTAAAATATATATTTGAAAAAATCCAACTGATCAATGAATAACTGAAAAAAGGCAACTAAAAAAAAGCTAATTCACCTGTCAATGATAAGTCTATTTGTGATTCATTGCTATTTTCATCAGTTAGTTGATGTGTGCAATATTCAGTGGAGGATTTTGCATAAATACAGTCTATATATAATGCAGTCCTGCACAAAGCATATAATCTCTCTGTTCTCAGCGGCAAACAACTCAACCAGATCAACACACAGGAGTGCCTGCTCTCTGCTCTCTTTGTTCTGCACATATATGAAAGCAATACAAAGTTGTTCAGGGTGAAACAAACAAGTTATATCTATGGATCCCTTTCTAATGCTGCCCTCGGCATCTGTTCATATGACCAAAATCAGAAACAGTCACTGCATAGATGTTTAGTTTTGAGTTTAGTGACATGATATCAGATCCATTGTGGCGCCATCTCACACACCCTGCAGGCGTACTGCTCCTTCTCACACCACAGGGGAAAAGCAATGCTCCATTTCTTCATGCAGTGCTCCTGGTTATTATTCACTGTCTTTTCTGTCACTCTAGTTCATGTGATATTGAATAAACAACACATTCTGGATCATTCTGGGTGTCTTAGCTGCTTGGATAATAGTTTCTGTGGGAGAGCAATCATCATTAGAAGGTGGATGTTTAAAAAAAGGCAGACTTTCGGCCATCTGGAGCTACGTCTCCTTGTGTTTTAGAGTGTGGGAAGCTGCAAAAGCTTGTCACTGGTTTATATCAAATCCCTAAATGCTTCATCAACCCTCTGCTTACTCGTGGGTGTGTGGAAGTTATTCTTTAAGGCTCTTTTTTCTTTAAGGCTTGTGACCAATTACCAGCCCATCATTGTCATTTACCGTCATCTACATCAATTCATTTGTCAATAGGAATTTGTTGTAAATATGTCCAGCCCATATTTCTGAAGTTTGACAAAA